ATGGACTGTACTACACCATACTCTAGTGTCCTGCTGATGGACTGTACCACATCATACTGTAGAGTCCTGTACTGCACTACACTTGACTGTGCTGTAGGTTACTGAGGTACAGTACTACATTTTAAACTGTTCTATTCTTCAGTGGAGTGTAGAGAGTCCTTTTTCCTGCTCTGTAATGGACTGGACTGTAGTAGACTGGACTCTAATTGATCTTACCAGCCTGGACAAAACTGTAGGGCCCTGCAGCGAACTGTGTTGTACAGTCTTGTCCTGTTCTTGTATTGTGCAGCAGTTGGGCTTAAGTGTTCTGTATTTTACAGCATTGCCTTGAATCTCTGACCTGTGCCTGTCGCTCCTGTGATTACACAGCGCTCCACCTCCAATTCATGTCTAACCCCTTGCGGCTTTTCAGGAGTGTCACGTGGCAAGAATTGCCGGGGACCGCTGTCTGCGCTTTTTGTCTCTTGTTGGATTTCTGATTTTCCATTTTTCCCTGTTTCTCCATTCTTCTGTTTGTCTCCTTCTTCTCCTGTCTGTCTCTGCTGCTGCCCATTCATCTCCCTCTCCCACCCCCCCACCACCTCCATCCGTGCCTGTAGTCAGAGATTATGGATGTGAAGAAGGGTGCTCAGATTGTGAAGCGTGCCAGTCTGAGGAGGGTAAAGCAGTGAGATGCCCTGACTTACAGACCAGGTACCTACCACTCTGCATCCTCTCCGTACCATTCCTCCAGTTGGAGTGTACTTTGAAAGAGATTTCCAGTCTATAAGCTGCAATTAAGGGGCGTGAGGTCTTATAGATCACATCAGCCATTCCATTACTGCATACTCGATACCTGTATTTATCCTGACCAGAAGCAATAGACCATTCTGTACCTGAATGTGAGAGTGAATAAAAAGACCTACTGTGCCCAAATCATTTTGCTATAAAGTAAAGCAGTTCAGCACGACCTCTTTCCCCCAGTATAAGACAAATTAAATAATTGTCAGCACTTTTTTTTTGTTGCCTTCGGCAATACGAAAACCCAAGCAAGAGCAGGCAAGCAGAGTAGACAATACCCCAAGACCACAAACAGGGGCAAGAGTTTGGGAGCAAGAGGTGAGATAAGAACAGAAGAAGGTGTTAAAAAACAAAAGGAGGCCCTCTGGCCCATCTAGGTAATTGATCTCATCCAGCTGTTTCGTGAGAGATGCCAGATACCATCATAATGGCGGGGTAGCTTGTTCCATAATCCCACAACCCTCCGTCAAAGCAGTTCTTCCTGTTCTCTGCTTACAATGCACATTCGTGTACAGCAGCGGGTGGGGGAATGAAGGGTGAAGCACACTGTACTCCCCCTGTCAGCTGTCTGAAGGAGGACCATCACAAGTGAAATCGAGTCAAAGGAAGAACAGGAATGGGTTATTAGCTTGAGGATAGTATGCACCAGTGGGAGTGAGCTGGAGCTGTGTCAGGCTGCACTTGGTTGGGGACGAGAGATGGGGCTCAGATGAAGGGGACTGGGCTCCGGTGGTGACCAGTTCCAGCCAGCTCCTCCAAGGGAGTCACCACTGGCTCCACTGATCCCTTGGTAGCAATTCCTACATTACGGATCCCACTAGAGCAGCAGGGAGGAGCAGTGGGGGCAGGGCTCTGGACTTGTTGCTGGAAGGTTGTGGGGTCAAATCTCAGGTGAGACACTACTGTTACAAGGTATTGCACCCAACTTGCTTCAGTTAAATCCCCAGATGTATAAATGGGTGCAGATATACAGTACGTTGCTTTGGATAAAAAACAAATAAATTAGTAATTCATAAGAAGTCTTCTATCCAGCTCACAAAGGAAGTGAGATAACTATAATGGAGAGTCTGGTGAACTATCTGGTTCTCTTGCATAGAGAAGACCAAATATGTGTTAACAGGAATGAGTCGGAGAGCCCCTTTTCGGTTAGGGAGCTCATGAAATTACTACATTCCAGCAAGTATTCCGTGTGCAAGCCAGACATTACTAATGCTCTGTGACGAAGCAATACATACTGTAAAGTCCATCATGTATATAACGAGAACTTGCAAGATTTATTGCAAACGATTTGGGTTATAGTGATAAATCAGTGATAAATAAGTGTTGTGATAGAAATGAAATCACAAGACAGTTTTGATAAAGAATTAATCTTTGCTGAGTTATCTTAGCTGGAATGGGAGATCAGAGAGCAACAGACATACTACGATGTCTACTCATTAATACAATAATGAAGCTCTCTTCCTTTGCAACCAAATAGCAGCACTGCATTCTTACTCAAGCCAGCACAGAACATCACACCTACTTTTTCTTGAATTCTTTTTGTGTTGCATGCTTTCTGTTCATTTTTATGGGGACCTAATCTACTGCAATTGAGTCTAATTTCAAATGAGCTTGCACTGTATTTTTTGCTTCGTGTGGTCGTAGACTTTTTTTGTTCTCAAATCTGGTGAATTACACATACTGTGTGTTATGCAAGATTTTTACATTTATCATGACTTTCTAAAAGAACGTATAAAATCTAAACGCAGGTGTCATCAAGTTAGCAATCATGACCGAAGGCTCCTGGGCAGTGGAACAGTAAACTGCTTCTCCGGCTGTATTTTTGTATTCTTCCCATTGCTGACACCAAGCAAAATGCATCTCTTATTTATTGGGTTTTAATTTACATGTCATACAGTAATATTTTATGGTACTGGATAGCAATCCTTTATGGCACATGGCCATGAATACCTTTATACCTTTATGGCGTAGCACATTGAAAAAAATCTAATTGGGTTTCTGCATTGAAAAGGAAAACATGGCCAGCCCCATTGGAATAATCAAAGCTTCTCCTTTGAGCACTGTGTATGGCATGTGACTTGACAGACACTCCAGGCACACTGGGAGATCTTTGCTCCCTCCTCCTATACTGATGAGGGGGAATGGCAGACTGTATAGGTTCTGGAAAGGTAACCCAATCTGGACATGGCCTCTCGGACTCATTCCTGCATAACACAAGATATACTAATCCAGTGGTCTTCTGGTTTCTATATATATTCCTCTACTGAACTGGCTCTCTTCTTACTCTCGTATGCTTTCTTCTACTTGAGAACCTAGTTTGGAATTTTGATTCCTAGCAGCTGCCCAGTCGGTAACAACCCCTGAGCAGGGTGCTCCAGCCCTGGGCCCACAGAGCCCCAGTTTATCAATTAATTACTTGCTTAATTCATAAATGGCTTCATCTACTCTTCCTAATATTTAAATAACAGGTGACATGAGGTGATGTATAAGAATAAGCACATTGGGGCTCTCTGTGACCGGGGTTGGACACCCCTGCAATAGGGTATATGGGTCTGTATGTGCGTGTGTATTATCTTAATGAAATCACCTTGCTGCACAGTCTAGACCCACTGCACAGAAGAAACAAAAACTGGAAATTCAGGCAAAGTGATTCTCTTCTCTCTTCTCTCTTTTAGGATCTCACATCTACACCCAGACCATCACACACAGAGTCATGACATGGGACATGAAGAACAACACCACAGAAATGGAGAAATCAAGATAACAGTGACACAAACTGAAACTAACATGATGAACAGCAGCAACAGCAAAAGATGATGGAGGAGAAAAACATACAATGGGATTCTAACTGTAGTTTTGTTACGTTTTTTTTAAACTAGGCTAGAGGCATGATTTCTTAAAAAAAAAATCAAAAAACAAAAGAGAGCTTCCTGTAATCTGTATCAGCATGACTGACTGCCAAAGCATGATCTGTTACTACCCTAATGACCGAGGGTGAGGGGACTGGGAAGGAGGGGTTGTGGGGGTGTGCAGGAGATTTGGGGGAGGAGTAATGGAGTTAGGGCCCTTTGAAACGAGGAGGGGGAGACTTTCAGACGATTGCATAATAAAGCAATCAGACGCCCCTATAGCAGGGCACTCCGAGTCTCGGCCCAGCAGTGCCCACACTGTTGCTTGCGTGTACTTTGTCCCCCTGTTTCAGCTTACTGTGTTTCCCAGCCAGCGCTCTTAAGAGAAAAGACCATTCTTGTACAAAATATATGCACTATATTATATGTGAATGTGTGTGTGTGTGTAACATTCTGCTCTGATGCTGCTGGCTTGGTATTATATTTTTTTTCAGTTGTTGTTTTGTGTTTTATCTTTTTCCTCTGTTCTGGTATGAGAATTTGTGTCGGGCTTGTGTTACTGTTTTGTGTTACCTCCTCCTTTACCGTCGGACACTAATGGGTTATTGAAGTGCTCACCGGTTGGGGTACGGAGCCCTTTACGCTGGTCGCCACATGCTTTCTGAGGAACCGGGCCGTATGTTTCCAATATCTTCCCAGCTCGCAGTCGGGAGCTGCTCTGCTGAGCCAGGAGGACAGCTGCCTCTCTGTGCGTGCCAGCCGACACCCCCTCACCCCAGACACAGGTCGGCGGGACCTGACAACAGTTCCCAGAGACCCAGTCGACTGGAGGCTTGAACTGTTGGCCCGAATTCGGTGCACAACTCCCCCTTCTAGGCTCTGGACGGCAGGGTGATGCTGGTGCTTCATTCCCCTTGGCAACCACCTGCAAAGGCCAGCTAATTAATGTCTCACTTAGGGGTAGCGGTAGTTCTTAGAGAAGGTCTAAATGAATGGCTGGCTTCACTCCTCATCCTCTGGCTGGATGGGGGCAAGCTCGAAGGAATGTGGCCGCGGATCCGACTGGGAGCAGTTGTGGTTCTCGGTCGTTACCTGAAGAGCAGGGAGGAAGAGCGTCATTCGACCTTCACAGCAGCGAGCCGGACTGGGCCGCCTCCAGCTATCCCTGCTTTAATAGCTGTATCAGAGAGACAGTAGGGGAGTGTCAGCAGGAACCACCGGTGCAGCGGGTGAGGGAGAGGTCTGCTGGGAAGGATGGCTTAGGCTATCACCATGGCAACACTCAGCCTGGCATCCTCCACAGCGAAGCTCAAGGGTCAGGTGTCAGTCCCTGGCTGTCGTGGTTCCCAGAGCTCCAGTCGTGAAGACAGGTGCAAAATGGTCTTAAAAAAATACTCTACAAGTACTCTACACAAGTGGGAAGGTTTGAGCCAGCGCTTGTGTAGGGAGTTCTTCTGCAATGAGAGGGCACAACAGGGGCCATCAGTTCATTTCTTTATGCAAACAGCACCTTCCACCCCGAGGAGCTGAATCTAATTCAAGGCAGTCAACTCTAGGGGGCGGACTTGGAAAAGAAAAGGTGGGGGGTGCGGGGGGGGGCGGGGGGTGCCTTAGGGAGGTGACTCTCAGCGTAGACTCAGGAGTCAGCTGGTAACAGCGAAAGAAAGCAACCAAGCACTGTGATCACTGACTATACTGACCCCTTTACTGTGAATACTCAAGAGGCTGTACCCCCCTCCCTGGGCACACTACAAGAGCCTTGAACCCCCCATCTGTATTTTGTGAGGGAAGGAGGGGGGGCAGGGGATTAAGAGGGACGTGCAAATCTAGCCACCCTCTCTCCCCACGTTCTCTCTTTGGGGTGTCGCACATGTGAGAAGTCAGCCCGGCTCTTTCTGCCACAGCAATAATCTTGGGGGGGGGGGTGGAGGAGGGGCGAACCCCAGCACTGCACACATACTTGAGCTTCCATTACCGACGCAGAGTCAGGGCTTCGGTGGAGAAAGACACTGTTCTGATTTTTTTTAATTCCTTTAAGGGGAGCTGAGCCCGCTTGCACAGGCCTGCCTCCTCCTGGGGCCCAGCGCTCCTCTGGTGTACTCCTGAGCAGCGCGGCAGACCCCGGCCTCTCCCGCAGCTGCGTGACATCGTCCCTGCGGGAAGCTGGCAGAGGCCAGTTAGTGATGCAAGGGAGCCAACCAGAAGAACAGAGGTGTGGAAATGACTAGAAATGGACGCTTTGCTTCTTTCTTTTCCTGTTACAGCAAAGTTAAGCTTGCAATACTGTGCTATTAGCAATTCGCATTGTTAGGAGCGTGCAATATCTAAGTATGTCCAATTTCAAAAGTGTGGAGATTTCAAAAAAATATTTTCTTACGGAAACTCTCTCGGAACTAGTTCAGGTAGAAGTATTTTGGTTCCTGTTGTGTTCGGGGACAAGTGGTCTGATCTGCTCTTTTCAAGCCCTCACATCCTTTACAGTGGTGTCTAACACTTCACAAGCATTGCAATCAGATCTTTTACAAGAGCACTTCCCAATACGCAGGCCACACAGGAGGTGGCTGATTTTTAAGGTGGGGGGGTCTAAGGCACTTGTTTATTTCATTATCTTATACATCTCTTTGAATACTCTTCCCAAAAGCATCCTTTTTTTTTGCAAATCCAAAGCAACAGATTCATCATCTCTGATTAATTCCATAGCTAGGCAAGATGCCGATACAGCAATTTGCAAAAGAATGTGAAAGGTGCACCATGCTAAGAAAGTTTTTTTTTATATCCTAAAAATATTTTGCTGTATGCAAGAATGTAGATTGTAATGGCTGAGTGGCAAATGTTTGTGTTGTTTGAGGAGGTGCTTGTGCACAGAGGAGGGACTGTTGTACCAACACACAATCTTTTTACACCACTGGGCAGTGTGGCACAGCAGATTGAGAAGGGCATGGACAGATGCCACCTCACTGCCATTATCATGAAGTAAAATTGAGAAAGTTGGGTCCAGATGTCTTCTAAATAACCGAATACCAGGGATGCATTGCCCAAGCATGGATGTGTTGACCATTTTTTATTTTCCTTCCACGTATAATATTAGAGCCACAAGCCCAGCTCCTTTTCAACTGGAAAAGTGTTCTAGGAAGCAAGATTGCACTTCCCTGCTCTGAATACGTTTCCCTAACTCTCCACTTGTTTGCTGACACCAAATATATCGAAACGAAGAAGTCATAAACCTCTCCAGTTTCAGGGAAAATCTATTTCAAATTGCCTGACAAAAAATGTGTTCGGCTCCAGTAGATACTTGAAGACTATAACTGAGCATCCTTGAGGGTTGGAGTTTGAGAGCCTTGGGCTACAGTCTGGCCTTCAGCCAATCGCTGACCAGAACCTGGGCTGTAACTGGTCACTTGAAGGCAGTGGGGCATGCTGGGGCGGTTGCCTGGCTTTCTGGTTACCAGTTCTCTCAGCAGGTACGCCATGATGCTGACAACTTCCACCTAGTGTCCATTACTCTTGTACTGGGCAAGCAAAATGTGGATATTTGAGTTCTGCTCTTAAACTGCAGCTATAAGGACAAACTGTTATGTGCTGAAACTGCTTTTCAACACTACAACTAAATTAAAGGAGTGAGAGGGGTTTTGCTTTTACGGTATTGCGTGAGATAGCACAATCTCTTGTTCCTGTTGTTAAGCTGAGCATTTTCGTTATTGCGAAACATCACAGCCCTGAAGCAATGTGTCAGTTTTTGAAAGACGGAAGAAAGGGGTAGAGGGCTCCCGGGATTTTTTTTGTTAATAGAAAGTTCCATCAAAAATAAAAAGTACATGCAAAAATATTAACTGTTGCAAAAACTAGAGAACAATATACTCCTGTAGAATGGTTTAAAGGTATATTAACGCAATAGCATATTACTCTATACTAAGGAATGCATCTGCGCACATGCACAGAAAAAAGTTTTTAATATATATATAAATATATAAAATATATTTAATTAGAATGCCTATGCACTATTACTTGCTATCCAGGACTAGAGTTATGTTATGGCTGTACCTAGCAACTTAGCTATTAAGAGTCTAGGGTCATGAGGAATGCCTGAAACCTATGGAATAGAGGCTTTGTAGGTATTTTAACTTGTTTTAATTTCTTTTTTTATTGTTATGGAAAAAAAAATGAGCCTTTTAATCAGATTCAATCTGAAATGAAGATATGTATAGATACTTTTCCCTGTACACCAGCTAAAATCATTTACAAAAATGAATAAAGAAAGAAACTAACTGTGGTGATTTTTTTTTCTCTATGTATTTCTTAGTGTTGTGGGTCCTGTGTAAGTTTTAGAAAAAAATCCTATATTTGGCTGATAGGCCACTCACTCTTTTGCTGTACAATGACATACATAGTTCATTTAGAACCTTTTTAAAAAATAATAAGTTTCAGTTTCTGTATTGTAAAGCACTGGTGAAGCTGTTTAACAGATTAAGCCTCAATATTCTTGCTGTAAAGGAAAAGGCTTTTGTTAAAAAAAGTTATAGTGATACAGTCCAGAAATATATGATAACCCATGAACGTACATTGGACCTGCCCTATCAGTCTACCGAGAAAAAAGTGATTGAAATGGGTTAATAAAAAACGACTTAACTTTTAACCGGAAAAACAGTAACATCGACTGTGTCCTGTGCTATAGGATCTCAAGTACACTCTTCTCGGAATAAAAGGCTCCTTTTAGAATGATGAAGATTGAGTCAGGAAAGTAAAGTGAGTCTGATCGTACAAAACAAAATACATCACAACAGGGTGGTACATCCACCCCTAAAAATATAAAAGCAGCAATACAGCCTAGACACTAAACCTCCAAAACCCCACAATGTTTTCACTCCAGAGCTCAAGATTTCAAAGTCTTTACAATCTTTACAGGAAAACATCCACTAGGCTGAGCCTCAGCACCCTGTGATACCGATGCCAATCACCCAAACTTAACACTCCTCTACTTCCGAAAAGCATCTGAGGTCATACATTAACCACTTCAGAAACCCAGACGCTCACCAATGAGTGAGCTATTACACACGAGTTACTGCCCACAAAGGAGTGAAGCCTCTGTATATGAGCGGGGCTCAGCTGCACTGCGAGATGAATGAACAACATGCCGCATTCACTCCCCATACTTGTAGCGATGCAAGAAATCACAGCGCAGTTCCATCAAGGTCTGAAATGAGTTCTAATTTGTCGTGATAAAGGCCATTTTCCAGAGAATACCAAAGAAAACACACACAAGGTGCCCCCCCCCCCATGGTGCTCTGAATCCAAGCAGTTTTATAGTTTTATAGGCCCGGTACAGCTCTGATCACACTGTTATTACCGTGATCACTACATGTGCGTTAGAACTATACAAGATACTTCCACACACAGCACAATATCCATTTCTGAGAACATTATTATAATGATTGTAGCATTTCAGTTATTAATGAAACGTCACATACAACAGGTTTCTGTTTAAAATTTACTTGTTTCAGGTCAGATTTCCACCTACTCTAATTAGGCAACTTTCCCTTCTTCAGATAACACCTACCTCACATACCAGGTACCTTAAACCCAACTCCGCCCTCACCTGAAGCTCTGCTGCCTCTTCCTAAAAAAAATGGTGGGTAATTTATTTTTCTCAAGTCTCACAGAAGATGCACACTGTGTGGAAAAACACACAGACACACGAGGCCAAGTGTGAAAAAGATTTGCACACCCTAAAAAGCTGCTTTGATGTTACTAAACCAGCCCACTGGCAGCTGTGGAAAATGGCTTCTGTTAACAACAGCATGAGGGAGACCTTTCTTTTGAAGGTCAGCATTAGATTCTTGTTGAAGTTTCCACAACGTCTACACCACTCAGAGAGCTTATTGAGAAATGCATTTCAAGTCTAGAGAAGACAAGAGGAAACCCCACAGCAGGCCTGTTATACACAGAGTTTTCTCACACACCACGGAGTCTCACAGTTTTATTCAATTACCTCATCTGTATTGGTAATCACATGTAGGACTGGTGTTATTTGTCGCTTGTGTTGGTAACATGATCATTGTATGTTAGGAGATGCTAGGAGTCAAACACCTTGTTAGGGTATATAGTTACATGTCGGACCATTCATCCATTTTCTAACCAATTCATTCAATTCAGGGTCACCTGAGAGAGAACCGGAGCCTATCCTAGCAAGCAACGGGCACAAGGCAGGGTAGACCCTGGACAGGATGCCAGTCCATTGCAGGGCGGACACAGGCATGCACACACTCGCCCCATCGCTGATTTCCCAGGAAACCAATCAAACTATAAGCAAGACAGCAATGCTAACCACTGCACCAGCATGCCGCCCTAGTTACACGTGCAGCAGTTAAATGAAGAATGATACTGCAATGCTACTATGCATCAGTATAAGCTCATTTTTTTTTAACTGTTAACCTGGGAAAGGTTAAAAGAACGGCCTCCGTAGACATTTCAAATGAACTATACCTCTTCAATCTTGAATATCCAAGACTCTGGGGTAATGAGACAAAGTATTCACAATTTTTGCATTAATAAAGGCCATCCAAACCACAACGTCTTCAGGGTAAACAGTTAGACAAGTTGAGATTAACAGGAAGTGCATTTAAGAGAATAGAAGTCTTGTCGGTATACAAAGAGTTGCAGGAGTGTGGAACAGATTATCCAGATGCTTTTGAAATTGAAAATCAACTACTAGCTAGAAGAGCCAAATAGTCTTTTGACTTCATTTTGGCCTTTCTTATTTCTATATGAATTATATTTATCACTTCATTGAATTCGAACGTTTTAGATTTTCCAAGTATTAATGTCTGAATTAACTACAAAAATAATGTGGACATTTCACTGTACTGCTGTCGCTTTAAAACAAAGTTGAGGGTAAACCTCAGGGGACACTGGTCACTGCCTCTTATCAAGTCAAGTGCACTGTCTTTACATCAGCCTTTTGCTAAACAAAGAAAGAAACCTGTAATAAAAAAAAACTATTCTCAAAACCAAAAAGTGGAAATAAAAAAACTACTTAGCAAAAGAAAAGAGAAATTCCTAACATAAAACACATTCAACTTCTGATCTTTCATGTTTTTTTCTTGCTATCAGTAGGGTCCGTTGTGTCTAATGTGCTATGATCAAGCTGTGAGGGTCTGAGTTTCTTGGACCCACTCCAAACACTAACGTGTGACCAACACCGAAGACATTGGTACTACTGCCACCAAGAATTGAACTGTTTATCATGTTCACAGACACGGACTGCAGTACCAGTGTTACACCTTTCCACATCCCCTCATGAAGAGGTCAGCGCTCCACGGACAATAAGGCACAGAACCAACATGCAAGACAGACAGACAAAGGTCTTAAAAATTACAACTAAGCTTTATTTCCCTGGTAACACTATTATATTCTTGTACCTGAAAAACAAGTTATTACTATTACTTTCCTTTTTATACTGTATATATAGATGTGCATATATAATATATAATCTTTACCCCACCCCATACACCACCCACTCTACTGTCCAGTATAATAGCACAGGTAATGATTTCTCCTTTGAAATGTACATACATTCCATTATTACAATATAAATGCACTTACTTACAGCAAACAGTACAATATATTTATAACAGCTGAAAAATATTTACTTGGAATCAATTTCTCTTAGTACACATTGTTCATTGTTATTTGGAAAAAAAAAACATCACTTGTGATACCTGAAATCAATCTGGGGGTACTTTCCAGCTGACCACAATACTGGCTAAAGTTACGTGCACAGAGAAGAGGGGGCAACACGACCAGCCGAGCGTCAGTAGACTGTGCACCTTTCCCCACACTCACACACCCCCCCGACCCCCACCTCACCAGGACATGGGGCGCCCCACCTACAGCAAAAACAAAAACGGCAACATCAACAGCAGGAATGCTGGCTGGGAAGTTAAACTTGACCCATAAGGCTTCAAACGAGTAAAAAGTGCAGCCAATGCTTTCTGGAAAGCTTCTCCAGTGAGTTCCCTGTCCTGAGACCCACACACCTGGTTTTCATTCCATTCCGCCTTCATTAGGGAACTGAAGCCTTAATCGATCTAAGAAGTTGCATCGTTGGAATATTTGCATTTTGTTTCTAGGCGCAAGTTTGGGATTTTAGTTCACTTACAAAATACAGTGGTTAAAGCACCAGATTGAAACAAACAGTTCAAATGAACCTTACTATTATAAAGTCAATGAAGGGGTGTAACTGGAACAAAAACCAGCAGGTGTGGGGGGGGTCACCAGGGCCAGGAATGGGAATTACCCAGTGAAACGAGCTCTGGCACGTCTATGCACGACGTAAAAGCATGACCGGGGTCTGACACCTCCTCATCCACGTACTAGAAATGAGTTCTGCCCGCGCTAGGTTGAGGCATAGACATGACTTCTCCCCTTGTCCCAGTCGCACCTGTGCACGTCTCTAGAGCGCACGCCTTTCACAATCGTAAAAACGCCAACCACTTTGCTAAGACACCTGCGTGTGGTGGGATGCATCTTGCCTCTGCTTTGAAGGAGGTAAGGTAGCAAATCAACTGCAATCAAGATCGCATGTGTGTGCATGAACTAGCAGGGTAAAATAGATTAGCTCCTTGCTGCAGGTTTCTTTGGCTGTTTTGTGCAAAGCGCCGCAGTTTTAAAAAGGAATGGCCAAACCAAGCACCGGGTGACAGAAGGTGAGAGAGGTGACAGGGGCAGACTCTGCAGGGCAAAACCATGGTGAACGGAGAGTCTGGAGCCCTCAGCTCCTGTAGTGTTGCCAGCTTTGCGTGCAGTGCAGTGGGGACGGCCGGAGAGCTCACCACCGCTGCCACCAACACCAATATTAAAAGGAAAAGGAACCTGAATATTAACAAAAACATTTTCAAGATCTAGTGGGGATGATTTAGTGTCACCTTACAGACTTATCCATCGCTGCTGCAAATATCTGAAATTTGAAAAGGGGCTGTACAATACTATCAAACAAGACATTTATGCTTGGAAATACGTCATTTAAAAAAAAAGCAATTCCATCTTTGTGCAAATTCCCAAACAACTCAGCTGGACCAAGCCTGCCTGCCTCTCTGAAGGCTCCAGGGACATGAGATTGGGTGATGGAATCAGCCTGGAGATATATGACTTTAATATAAATAAACAAATACATAACTTCTATAAATACAGGTTAAAAAAGCCACTCTGGCCGCACGAGCTCAGAGGTGCTTTGGCACTGCCTTTAGTGGGCACTGGCCCACACAAACCTGGCCACACTAGGCCTGCTGACGACCTGTGGGGGCCCATACCTGACCCCTGGACAGAGCTTTCACAAGCCTCCATCAGAGTGCAGTCCGTTCCTGAACCATGAACCCCCTCTCCGCCAATCACAGCCCCCGACGCTGTGGACTTTCAGAATGGCCTTGTGGCCCCCTATCCCACTAGCCAGACCCACGCATAAACGCAGAGACAGGCTGCACTGGACACAAACCAATCTGAATGCTCTTTCATGTGTGCAGCACCTGAGCCATGGGCATATCTAATACTGCTTCCTAAACCTTCGCCAGCTTACTCCTTCCACACCAGTTCAGTGATTCATTCTCAGTTAAATGGGCTGTTGGACTAGACGACTGCTGGTTCATGGCTGGAAAGGATTTCATTATCCAGGGGACAGACAAATGCACAGTTTAAGTATTTAACCTTGTGCTGTTGTTCACTTCAGATTTGCCATCTCGCTGTGGATGTGGGTCTCATAGACTCCCTCTAGTGGACCAGGAGTGCATCTTCTGCCTGGTGAACGCAGGTTTCTTAGATGACGAGCATGCTGACACCGAAGAATAGGCAATAATCTCAGGCTGTGGAAACAGCCATGGTGGGCAGAGGAGAGACGGATGGTCTTGTAAAACTCATTTTAAAAGAAAAAAAAAAGCACTGTAGGAAGTTTGCCTTTCCTGCTTGCAGCCTGCTACAGCATCTTATTTGTGGCTCAGTTAAAAAATGACAATGTTTTAAACAGAAAATCCAATAGAATTTTAAACATAATTTGAAAGACAAGCTCAGTCCCACAGGGTGTGTTTTTGCTCTATCCATGGTTTTCCTCTTCAGTGATCCATGGTTTTCTCTCTACTTTTGCTTCTGCCTGCAGAGTCCAAAAAAGAGGTTAACCTAGTGGGAGCAGGAGGACCTAGAGAGTATCACACAGCTGGCACACTGCCCTGCTGAGCAGCACATACCAGTACCTTCTCAGAGGAGCCAAAATGCTGCTTTACACACACATATGGCTCTAGATGCTGCCTCTGTACAGAAAGACTCACAGCTTCCACTAAACATAGCACCACACTTTGCTCTCTCACTGCTGTAGCCTTTCAAAGCCAACAGAAGCTCAGCCTCAGGTGACAGCAGGTCCCATCACTGACAAGTGACACTACAAAAAGTGTAGAAAGTTCAGGTTTTGGAGTTATGAAGTCACAAAACCAGTTAAAAAATGTGTAGGGTTTTTTTGGCTGCATAGTATGTAATATCATGAACATCTTGTTGGATAAAAAGAACAATTAATTTCTCTAAAGAGACTTCATTTGTTTATACATATGACTGAACGGTCTGGTGTATTATGTTTATTATGACTGTGCATTTCTGTTGTCTGCAGCCCTGCCACTGGAGTGTGGCTCTCTCCTGACACTGTCACGGCCTCACACTTCAGGACAAAGTGTTATGAACCCAAAGTACTAATCTGCTGAGGGGAGGTTTTTCCATCAGTGGTAAAAGAACTGACTTGTTACATGCTTGTCAGGAAACTTTAACTGTGGTATTGCGCACTGTGACTGTGTACGGATTACATTAACAGCATGGCAGAACTCCAGTTTCTTTCACTGACAGAATCAATTAAATTATGACAGATACTACATTCACTGGTTTCAGCACTAGTAGCATCAATAATAATCCCTGTTCATCTGCTACCACTGGAAGGGAAAATAAATGGAGTAACATAGTACTAGACTCTGCCAGTAAGAGTTTAGAAAGAGCTAAAAAGCTCAGTTAAGAGAAGCAATATTGTCCTATGTTGCAATATACAAGTTATAACATGCTAGTGCTGTACTACCTAGCTGCTAGAGAACCAGTGTCTCGTGTATTAAAAGCCCTGTGCAGGACTGGAATGGGACAGGGGTGTATTTACCTCATGCAAGGCACATTAACTGTAGTTCTCAATTGTGTCAAAAAATGAACAGCTGACATGAAACTCTAGAAGGCAGAGAAAGGCAGGAGATAAAGGGAAGCAGAGAAAAAAAGAAGGGAGAGAAGAAAGAGAAAAAAACAGTTTAAGTTAAGCTGCAGAAAGAGGAAAGCAGATAGACAACTTGTAAAGGGCTGCAGCCTAAGAGTTGTACACTGCTCCGCAGCTAGGGGGTTTCAGATTACTATTATAAACAAGCACCCTGCAGTTTCCAGGTCCAAGCTCAACAGCCTCAGAATTCAGATCTTGCCCAGGTAGTATTATCCCCAAAAAGGTCTTCTTTAGTTATGAGCCCAACACCTCTTCCCTCCTCATACCTGGGTTGGTGTTCTTCTCGTTGAGTAGCTTGGTCTGGCTGTTGGGGACAATCTTTATCTCAGGGAGCTCGGGGGGCGGGGCTGCTGTGCTGATCCGGGATGCCATAAGGGCATTGAGATACTGCATCCGGGTCACCTGGGGGAGAGGGTGGGGATGGCAAGACATGTGAACGTGGGCGTGTGCCAAGTATCCGACAGTGTGTTCCTGCACATCTGTGAGTCCGGAACGAAAGGAAGAGGCACATTTTCCAGATGAAGGGAGGAGGTAACCAGATGATATCATCAAGCAAGAGAAACAGATTCTTTAACAGGAGATGAGACATTACTGATGCACAGGCCTTTGAGTGACAGAAGACCTTCAGCCAACCTGCATAGAGGATTCAATCCTTTCTTAGTGCTTATAAAACAGGTTTGCACCAAGACAAGCAGCAAAGCTAGCCATAATGGCCTATTCCTATCCCAGTCCTTCTTATGAGAATGTGCCTGATTGCATGTGGGGAATGGAACTGCGGAAAGCTCTTACCCTGATGAACTGCAGGTCAGTCAGAGCACGCACAGTGTAGTCTGGACAGTAGCTGGATGGACTGGTATCCCCCAGCTCAAAGGGGTCCTTGGGGTTGTGTCGCTGGGTGGAGACTGGGGACTGGTGCACTGAAGACGCCAACACAGGAGAGCAGAAGGACAGAAATTAGGCACAGCGCTTGTAAGAGCGGACAGGGATTTGAATCAGTTTTGTCAGGCCCTGTGCTCCATTTGAAAAGCTGAAACAAGCTGCCAGAAATACAGTTCTCTCAATATGGCAACACCAGGATACGTCTCTCGGCATAACTGAAAATAAGGAACAAGAAAAGGTCTATTCCATGCTGAAAAGAGAAGAAAAGAAACACATTTCGGCTGTGGAGGGCACCAAGATGACAAATTTTCATTTCAATTTTTGGGACCTAGCATTTAGCCTATTCTTTCGGAATTTTCTGCATCAAGAAAGGCACACACAGATCAGCTGCAAATTCTGCGGGCCTCATCCTTTTAATGAATGCCAGGAACACAGACATGCCAGGGTGCACAATGAAAACTTCAGCGATCCCCTGATCACACCATGCCCGAGATTCCAGGTCTTACCTGACGAGGGCGCAGTGAGGGCAGAGACACCGTAGTACGTGAAGGCTCCATTCTCAAACTTCAGTCCCTCCTTCCCGATCTCCACCTCCACGCGGCCCTGCACAGCAACAAACAAACTCTACTCCTTTCTGGACCTCTCTCCCTGCCTGTCCCTCACTCACCGCACTTCAACATTAACTTGGAGAGATATAAGCGTTCTCCTTCTCTCTCCCCCTCCACAGCACACACATCCATCTCTTCCTCTCTCCCTCCAGCTCCCCTGAATGAGAACGTCTGCCTCTCCGCCCCCTCCTCTCCCCCTGACAGAACCTGCGCAAAATGAGCTGAGACCTTGGAACTGTTCAGAGCTTCACCATTCGCTGCACCTCACAATGCTGAAAGTGCGTTTCTCCTCTGAGAAAACAGTAAATGCAGTGCAAACTTTACAAATATAACCTAAAAGCTATAGGAAAATACATTATTTATATGTGTTGTTTGAGGTATTGAGGCAGAACTTTGAAGAGTCTAAATTGATTACCAAGTTAATGGTCTGCTTCAGACAAAAGGCAGTCTATTTTCTGGCAAGACAAGCTATCTGAGTTACATTTAATGCAGGGAGTCCAACTCTGGTGTTGCAGAGCTCCAGTTCAACAGGTTTTATATGTCTAGAAATGTCCAAATTCTAAAAGGACTGGAACGATTTAACTAATCAATTAAGCAGGTGTTGTGTTCAATTACATCATTTAGAGATTTGAATCAAAAATCATAAAATCCTTTACCCCTCAAAACCAATTAACTTTTTTATTGAATGATAACTTGCATAATTGATCAATTGCTTAAAACATGTTCCAAATCAATTCCTAATATCAAGAGATACAGGGTGACGCAGAAGAATAACTGGACTGGGGCTCTCCAGGACTAGGCTAGGAAAGTTTAAGGGATAAGGAGAATGCAACATGGCCGTCAGTGTTCCCCCTCCTCCACGTGGCTGTAAGCACAGCGCCTCGCCCCCCCCGTGCCCGTACCTGCAGCAGCAGGATGAAGTAGTCGACAGGGTGGTTGCGGGTGTACAGGTAGTGGTCAGCGCCGAGCCGGTTGCTGGGGTCGAACTTCACCTCCTGGTTGACGCTGGGGTGTTTGAGCAGGTGCAGCAGGACCTTCTCCGACATCCGCAGGGGACTGAAGTGCTCCACCTCTGTGCCAGGAGACACAAACCCACACACACACACACACACACACACACACACACACACACACACACACACATAAGATGCTTTACAGACCATTACAGTTACACATACACCGAGGTGGGCACTGGGCACAGAGACTGGCACGTACACAGGCACAGACACAGAACCATAAACAGACTCACTGCCATACTGAGATAGGCACAGAGACTGGTGTATACACCAGCCACTGGGCATAGATATATGACCATAAACAGATTCATCCACATACACTGAGATAGGCACTATGCACAACAACTGGTACATTAACCAGCACAGATATAGTACCATAAACAGGTCCACAATCACTAGCAGGTACTGTGCAAAATTAAAGGCACTCCGGGGACAGACACACGGGGGTACAGTGACAGGGCGGTCTTGCCTCGGGACAGGAAGCGGTGGGTGGCCAGGAGCAGCTGGGGAGAGGTGCGGACCTTCAGGTCTCCCTCGGGGACCTTGAACAGAGAGAAGTCCTCCCGGGGGCCAGCGAGGGGCAGCTCCACGGGCAAGGGGGGGCGTTTCACCTTCATATCCACTGTGTGGAAGAGAAAACAGGGACTCAGTAAGAGGGAGAGAACAACACGGAGGCAGGGTGGGGGATACATGAAGGTGCACCAAGACAGGGAGAGAGAAAAAGACCACCAATAAAAAGGGAGAAAGCCCAGCTCCCACTGCAGTGCAGTCTGAGCCGCTCCAGGTTTTCAGGAGCTCGAGACAGGGCCCTGGCACCGTGCAGAAGGAAACGGCTGCGTGTGGGGGGTCAGGGAACGGATCGGAGCAGCCGACTGAAGTGAGCTCTGCCCCGGCACTCACCGTATCCATCGGACTCCTCCAGGATCTCGGACTTGATGATCTCCTCAATGACGTCCTCCAGTGTGACCAGCCCCAGCACCTCATAAAAGGGGTCTCCTTCCCCCTCGTTGTTCACCTTCTGGACTATGGCCAGGTGGGATTTACCTGAGAGAGAGAAATCAAGAATAACGTGAACACACACACACTCCTCAGACACAACCGGCAAATCGCAAGGAACAAGACCGCTGGGGCAAAGGCTCATATAACCTTATCCTAGAAGAATAAAAATAAATGGTCTGGACATTTAAACAGGAAAACCAATCTTAGGACACATATGCAACACCATAAGTCTTCCTTCTCTTGTATATTTGATTAAGCTATATCACCCTGCAACTCACAACTGGCAACCCACTGCAGCTCAGCAGGTGTGAGCCTGGCCAGTACCTGGATGGGAGACCTCCTGGGAAAGGCTAAGGTTGCTGCTGGAAAAGGTGCTAGTGGGGCCAGTAGAGGGCGCTCACCCTGCAGTCTGTGTGGGTCCTAATGCCCCAGTATAGAGACGGGGCATTAGGCTATACTGTTAAAAAAAGGCCCAGTCCCTTCAATGAGTTGCAAAACCAAGGTCCTGACACTCTGTGGTCATTAACAATCCCACAGCGTTTCTCGAAAAGAGTAGGGGTGTAACGCCAGCGTCCTGACCAAATTTCCCATTGACCCTTACCAATCACGGCCTCCTAAAATCCCCGTCTATGAATTGGCTTCATTACTCTGCTCTCCTCCCCACTGATAGCTGGTGTGTGGTGAGTGTTCTGGCGCACTATGGCTGCCGTCGCATCATCCAGGTGGGGGCTGCACATTGGTGGTGGTGGTGGAGGGGAGTCCCCATTACGTGTAAAGTTTGAGTGGGTTCCCAGAAAAACGCTATACAAGTGTAAGGATATTAGTATTATTATTAGTAGTAGTAGTAGTAGTAGTAGTATTAAGAATAAGAATATGAAGAGGTACACCTATTTGGGTTTAAATGTCGCCTGACATCTGTAAATGTGTGTTCGAAATTCCCTGATGTACAAAAACTGTACATGTTAAAAAAGAGAAGATTAAGGCCGCATTGCTGTTTCTCTCACAGCCCAGAACGAGGTCAGTCCTCCCGCTGAGGGACCCAGCTCTAATCGCACTGTACCCAGGTCAACCAGGAGGCTCGGCGCCACCCCGGCAACCGGCTCTGTGCCGGAGACGTCCAGCGCGGTCTCTGCTGTGTCGGAGCTGGATTAGCGCACCGCTCATTAAAAATGACTTTGCCCCGGGGCTGGAGGGTGAGAAAGGAGATGAGGGGAGGGCAGTGTGTGTGGGGGGCAATCCAGCCCAGCAGAAATATTTGGGCTAAGCTGGCAATTAATTCCTCCCCTGTGCCAACTGGGGCTGCTCACCACAGATTGCCAATCCAACCCTGGCTGCCAGTAAGAGCCTAGGCCTGCTAATAATGAGGGTATGTCTCTCTCTTGCACTACCCCAGAAAAACATAGACATACGTGCATTTAAAAACTCCTGCTTTTTTATTTTGTTCTCATGGAATGACGAGCATTTTTGCCCTGCCGGAGATGCAATATTAATATCACTGCCCGTACTAGTAAAACGGTACTTCACTGTTCACAGTTAATCACTGAGCTTACACGAGCAGAGACAAAGTGAATGCCTTGCAAGAAACCACTTCCCAAGAGCAGAGTTTTAAAGCTCCAGGATTATCTGAGTGGACTAGAGCCCCTGAACTGTTCTTGAAGTGTTCCTGGTCTTGAACAGAGTCCATCTTAGTTTATAGGTTCCCCTTCAGTAATCACCAAACAGTGAAACTGATCTGTTTAAGAAGATGATTATCTGTGGAGTTAAAAGCTGAGGCAGAATGAAATGCAGAAAAGCTGGTGGGCCTGGAGAATAACAGGGTCTGGGCACTGTTGGAAGACTCACTGCTCTGCAGTTACCAGTTGCAGTAGGGATCCCATTCCGTAGGGGAGAGCCCAGCCTTTCCTGCGGCTCGGGGTACTCTACAAACGCCAGCCTCTTGTGCACTCCGACAGTCTGCATTTCTTTTCTCAGCTCAGTCTGCACCACAGCCCGCTGCTCCTAAAGCACTGAAGTGAACCGCACTGCTCCGAGACCATCGCGTTCTTGCCCTCTCTCCTGCTGCAGAGAGTGTTTGAACTGCACCTGCACCTCAGATCCGAAACCCTCTGGCTCTCAGACCCACTGCTCTGGCATCCTACAGCACAGGCACTGCTGGCACTCTGAGAGGAGCTTCGGCAGCTCTGTATGGGGCAGCGATCGACACCTGTCGTTGAAACTCTAGAGCAGCAGCGCCTGCAAGGTATGAATCGATTGCACAGTGCCAGCTCATTAAGAACAGATTTTGACATTGATATTTTTCAAACAAATTACTGAAAAGCACAACATGGTGAATACTAGTAAAACCACAGACTGAGCATCAGTTCGCATCAACCGCAAAAGGCCTATGAGTTTCAACTGCACGTGAGGGGACAAACGGATCTTAATGTTGGCCTTCATAGATCAACATACTGTATAGTAAAAACACAGACTTCAGCAAAGGTAAAACCATACAGCAATGACCTAAACTCTGCATAACAATCCACACATTTTCTAACCACTTTATCCTATACAGGGTCAAGGGGGAGCCAAAGTCTATCCCAGCAAGCAATGGGCACAAGGCAGGATACTCCCTGGACAGGACACCAGTCCATCACAGGGCACACACACTCACACCAGGGTCAATCTTCCCAGAAGCCAATGAATCTACCAGTATGTCTTTGGACTGCGAGAGGAAACCAGAGCACCTGGAGAAAACCCCCAAGACCAGTTTGAGGGGGACATACAAACTCCACGCAGACAGCAACCCAGAAGTGGAACCCAGGGCCCCAGCACTGCGCACCGTGCCACCCCCTAAGGCAGGAATCCCACGATTACTTGACAGACATCCTCCAAGGAAGGTCTAGCATGGTTACAAGAGCAAGCAATCGCTATGCCGGCCCAATCAGTAGACTAGGCGGAGTGGGAGTTAGTGCCTGTGGCGTACGAGGTTCCTCTCCCGAGTCGGGCCTGAACCCCATTCATTCTCCAATGCGATCTCAAAGGGGGGAGGAGTGACCCACAGGGATCAGACCTGAATCAGACAGGCTGCACCTGTGACCCCCCCTCAGCTGGCAGCCAGATAGTTCTGCAACTCTCACCACTGTGCTGCACGAGTGAAGCCTGGTGATGCAACCTGCTCACTGCGCTTACTGGACACAAGGCGGACAGGCCTTCCGAGTGCCTACGCTACTGCCCGGGGTCCACGCTAGAGAGTTTCAATCCCCGCCACTCTGTCCTCGAGGCCTTGGCGTTGGCTGGCTGGCCCGGATTCTACCTTGCTGCTGCCCTCCCAGACTGCAGGGGGCGCCGGGCGGGCGGACCCAGAGGGTGCACAGCGGCAACCCTACCTTTCTTGAACTCCTCCAGCATGGCGTCCAGCTTGGTGTCGTTGAAGACGAAGTGCAGCGGGTGGTTGTAGAACTTGGTGATGGTGCTCATGGGCGTGCGGTCCTCCGGGTCCACCAGGGCCAGGTCCTTGAGGTACAGGATGTCCACGATGTTGGAGCGCTCGTCCTCGTAGATGGGCACCCGGGTGTAGCCGCTCTGCATGATCTCGGACATGGTGTTGAAGTCCAGCACGGCGCCGGAGGACAGCATGAAGCAGTCCTTCAGGGGCGTCAGGATGTCCTCCACCGTCTTGGTCCGCAGCGCCCCCCGGCTGAACTCCTCCTTCACGAACTCGTTGTAGGGGTCGCTGGTCCTCATCATCTCCATGACCTTCTCCCGCACGTGGCACGAGCTGATGTCCCTGCCCAGTGCCAGGTCCAGCAGGAGCCCCAGGGGGCAGGACAGCGGGCAGGTCAGGACCATGCACGCCTGCCCCAGCCACGCCACCCCCGGGGCCAGCTGGAACCCGCAGCCGGAGCACAGAACGTGAGGCAGCAGCCCGCTGACGATGAACACCAGGAGCCCGCACAGGAAGACGGCGGGGAGCAGGGCGCCCAGGGCTCGATAGAAGAGCACGCCGAGAGCGGAGTAGCCCAGGGCGCACAGAAAGAGCAGCGAGCACAGGAGAAAGTTACCCCGCCGGCGCAGGGGCTCCAGCCGCTTCGCCGTTTTCTTCTCCCGCTCGGACCCGCAGGTGTGCAGCACGTACAGTTCCAGCGGGTCCAGCCCCAGCAGGCTCAGCTTCAGAATCTGGAACAGGGCGCAGGCGAAGAGCAGGAGGACGATGGCCAAAGCCAAACCCCAGACCGGGATGAAATCGGGCTGCGGGTCGTCTGCTAGAACCAGCCTATCCTGGCCAGCCGTAACCCATCTGACGCCGTCCCGGGCGCACAAGCGATGATAAGAACTCCTGGCGTGCTCACCGGAGATGCTGCTGCTTTCTGCAGCCTGCACGGTTATTAGGGCGCTGTGCTCCTCGGCCTCTAGAAATGGCCCCCGGAGTTGAAAGAGAGCCGAGCTCCGTCCGCTCTCGTCTTTGCACGGGTCGGTGGCACCGCCATCCTCCCCTTCTGCTTCCTCCGCGAACGCAACCCACGGCCAGGTCTCATTAAGCAGGTAAGACCCGAAGAGCCTCAGCTGGAAAGTAGCTCCGTAATGTGCTGTTATGACCCGGTGCCGCATGAACACCAGCGCCCCCGGGTCCTCCAGCCTCAGCCCCAACACCCGCGGAGCTTGTTGGCTGCAGGCGCCGAACCCCAACCCGCAGAGGAACAAATTAATCAACGAGAAACTTAAGCCTGCCAAGCTGGCCACCATATTGGAATTGGGCAGCTGGGCTCTGTGCGAGTCATGTGACACCATCTCGGCGTTACACCGTATCAGTCCAGAGGAAGATTCGTCAAGAAGCACATCTTATTTTGTGGAACTCTTTCATTTTTATCACCATTTTGGATCCGAAATCTCCGACAGCGGACAAACGACTCACTCCTTCACTGTTTGAGCCACAATGGCACCCGGACTTCAATTCCTTTGACACGCTTGCTAACAACAGCCAATGAGAGGAAGATGGAAAACTGAAAACCAATAGAAAGACAGAAGGAATTTTGACGACCAATAGAAACAGGGAAAGGGCATTCTGCACCCTCCTCCCTTTGTCAAGTTCGGTGTCGCTGTGTTGTAAACAAGTCGTGTTGCTGCAGTCTCGGGGTCAAGCTTGGATCCTGCATTTAAAGGCGCGGCGTGTGTTTTTCTTGTGTGCTTTTTTTTAAAAAAATCAATCTTCATCTGTTTTCCATAATTATTTCCAGAAATAAAAACGCAACTTTCATGAACATTTAAACACAAGTTAGGACACATACTACAACAGGCCAGGAACGAGCTCTCGCCTCGTTTAGCGATCTTGATTTCTACGTTTGCGTCGCAGACGCCCTTCTGAGCTGTTCTGCCCGTTCATCTGCGAGGTCCTGGTCCACGGTTTGGCAAAGAGATCTCAGAGTTTTAATCCTCCCCATCTGACTTCTTTTTGCAGATGCAATCTGTAAGGAAGTCAGTTTTCATTTTCATGCATGACCGTGCAGAACGCAGCCCTTCTGATGCTGTATCATGTACTGAATATTACATGGGTGGATGCTGCACATTGGTGGTGGTGGAGGGGAGTCCCCATTACCTGTAAAGCGCTTTGAGGAGTGTCCAGAAAAGCGCTATATAAGTGTAAGCAATTATTATTATTATTGTAACGCAACGGGGGCTCAGGCGGGCGCCCTTGCCGCATCTGTTCGGCCCCTGCACCGTCCGGGGCTCGAACCCGGGACTCCCGCGTCTCTCTGCAGCGACCTAGCCCCGTGAGCTAAAGAGAGATCTCTCCACAGCCCAGTAGCTGTAGTCCTGCTATCACAGGGAAGGGCGGTGACATCGCCGGCTCTTACACAGTGCCTGTCGGCCGTAAGCGTTACATTATTATTATTATTAAAAGATTTAGGAAAGGGGTGTTTGGAAGTTTTAGTAGAGATATTTGACGAGTTGGGAGAACCAGTTTTGTAGTACTGGAGCTGCCGACTCCCAACGGAGATCGTACAAAGTATCTCAAAGTCACTTGATGTTTTTATAATGGAAACATTTTTAGTGGAGTGTTCATGAACTACATCTCTGTTTTATAAAGGAACGATCATCACCATTATTGATTAAGCTAATTTCATTGAGGGGTAAAAAAAAACAAACATTTTAAAATATTTTGCAACTCTTTGTCTTTGATACGCTGCACCGTTACTACGGATACTGGAAATGATTCCCATTTTCAATTTCTTGCGACATTTAGTTGCGGTTCCCTTCCCCAAACGCCGTTATTTCTGACCACATTGTTCTTGTTATTGAAGCCGGATAATGTGATGTACTCTATATTATGCTTGCAAATTAAATTTAAATCCCGTGGTAAATGGAAATGTTCCGTAAACTGCAAGGCAGACGGTGACGTTTACAACTTTCGCGTACATAACTCCCTACTCAGTCTTCCGAAAACTACCATTACGGCTTAAAACACTAACCCATGTTACCGCCTTGAGGCGCTGCGATGTTCGCTGGGTTAATAGTTTCAAGGCCTGTGGCGCACAATTCTTAACTCAGAGAGGGCACTCAGACATTACCAGAGCCGAGTAGCTCCAGGCTGTAACAGGGAGAAAAATTCCTAAAACCCTGATTATATAGGCTGGAAGACAAAAAAAATAAATAAGATAATGTTACATCTTCACAGAGGCAACATATAATGCCTCTCACGGCGCTTTATAACATCTTTGTTTCCATAAGACAAGTCCGGTCAAGAAGTATTTCCAATGACATCTCAAGTCAAAACCCGACTCTATCCCTAAAACATACTACGAACACTTCTATGATAAACATTCTGTATTATTGCGCATATATTTACTTTTTTACGTCTGTGTACTGAACAGTCATAAACTAATATGAATCTTTCATAGCGTCGTGTAGCCTCTTTGAAGCCGTGACACAGATGTCGTATCCAATTCGGCAACCCGTGGATACACCAATCTTGTGTATTCCCTTCCGAAATGCGCTCCGCATAACTTTCTAAAAACTAATGATATCGACGGGGACGTTTTTGGTCGGGATTTGAGTAATGTCAAAAATGACCGGAATGAAGGTTTACTTCATCTCTACGCAAGACAGGTGAGCCCCAAAGAAGGCACGCAAGGGCATGTTTTGTCCTTATCTGTTACATATGCGTCATATATACTGTATGTGGGTGATGAAAAAAATCACGCGGATGGTGGAAAGACTTTCATGGGTGTCGGGGGGGATACTGAATTGATACGGCGCTTGTTCGGCAACAGAAGTAAGAAAATACTACAGCGCTGCACGAATGGTCCGCAGAAGCAGCCGGAGTCAGTCATGGCCACAGGAGAAAATAACTCTGGCAGCGCTGATGGCTCTGCCTAACGCTGGGACAATGACAACATTTACTTCACACAGCAGCAACAACAGACGTCGCCGAGGAAGGATGCCGTTTGACACCGCAACCCACGCGTGAATCGCTCACCGTTTGTATCCCGTGGCGTGGATTGTCTTCAGCGCGTTGCCTGGCTACTTCTCAGGCCAGACCGGGTTTTGTTTTTACACAAACACCCGCAACCAAAACATCACGTATTGTGTCTGGGTCCTCATCAGTTCCGAGAAAACCTGGATTTATTGTGCCGTTTCCCTGCTTGTACAAATCGTGCGACACCTTTAATACCACAGAGTTTTTTCTTTGATACTGCGGTTGCCGCGGGGTGACAAAAGTTGTTGTAGGAGAGCGGTTTGGGGGGGGGTTGTTTACTTAAGTTACACATATGTGTTTTGTCAGGGTTTGACCCTAGCGCAAACTGGACAGCAGACGACAATCTGCACAGATTAAGTGATGCAGTTCGCCTGGACACCGGTTGGTTACCACACGATCAGAGGCGACGCGTGAGACAGTGTGCGGGTGCTGACCAGGTTGGGACTGGACCTCTGGGCCAGCGAGGACAGACGAAGGACACAGGAAGGAGGGACAGAGGACTGTGACACCTGGTCATCTGCATGCAGTTGGATACACCAACCCCACTTACCCATCGCCTCATGATCACTGGCCAGAAAGAGGCCATATGAGTGACCACAATCTGGCCATAGTAACTGGGCAACAAAGACAGACCTGGCTGCCCAGAAAGAACAGGCTGTGCTCCCACTGCCAGCTGGGAGAAATAGAGACAGAGATGTACTTTCAACTGCGCTGTGAGAAACACTCAGGGATCAGACAAACGTTCTTCCCCCAAATAAATCTAATCCCAGAATTCCTGCACCTCAACTCAACAGAGCTGGCTGAGGAATGGAGGGTGAGCCTGTCTCCCAGTCATGCTCTATGTGCTGCTTGTTGTACGTACATGTCCTACAATGTGTTTGTATTGTAAATGTCTCTAGATGTCGTGTCGGTCGTACTTGCTTTGGCAACACTGTAACTCATCGGTCATGCTAATAAAGCTGTTTGAATTTGAAACTGAACATATGAGCCTCAGCCAGTGCAGGCTGGGCCGCTTGCTGTACGCTCCCACCACCCTTTGGGTAAAGTAGTCCCTCCTGTTCTCAGTTTTAAATACAGATAAATGTATCTGGTTGCTCTTCTCTGGACAGATTCAGTGCAGCAACAACCTCTTTATAACATGGCAACTAAAATTTGACATCAGTTTAATATTAGCATAATATTCTAAATGACGTCTGATTTTATGTTATACAATTTTAGCATAACATCCCTTGATTTCAATTCTCTGTTTTTGCTAAAAATACTAACTTTATCTCGCCTTTTTAATTGCTTCCCCACATTGTCTAGAGACTAGAAGATGTGGATGATGTGTCAACATGAACATCTATGCCTGTTTCATAGCCTTTTCTATTGTAGCTCTGTAGAGTTTTACTATCTGCTTGCAAAACCCCCCCACTTGTCTACATTCAGCATCATCGGGCAGGTGTTGGCCCAGGGGTGAATTTTATCTGAGGCTTTTTGAATTTCATTTTCTGCTTCTGCAGTGAAACAGACAGGGCACTGAGGTCTGCACAGTGAGTGAACTGGAGTTTTCCATGTAACCGGAGCCCTCCTATTCATACTGTACCACCCTGTTATTTGGGTGCTCTTTCCTGATAGCCAAGGGTGCAAGATAGCAGCAGAGACAGACGTAAGAAACACAATCGAATATTAATAGAGAAATATATCACGTTTATTAATAAACTTTTCTTCTTCAAAATGTGTTAAGACAGCAATTATAAAACAATATGTACACATTATTTAAAGCATGCCAAAGTAACAGAGGGGAGAAAATGTCAACTTCAAATACCTCTCCTCACCCCCCCCCCACATAAAAATAAAAAACAGCATTTGTAATCACAAAATACGATTGTTCGTCACAGTTATTGACACGGTGTTCTGAAATACAAAGGTAACAGTACTGAGAATTGTCATCACTCATAAACTGTGTGCCACAAACACTTTAATCTGGATAAAACATTACCATCATTCATGTTTAACAAAACAGGAGGAATGTTAATCATTCATGTTGTTTCCTGAAGGGGAAATACTGTACCTATACATAGCTAATTTGGTTTTGCAAAAGTAGGCCAGATTCTTTGGCAGAGAGAGCGGGTGGGCAACAGGTCAGGGCTGAGACAGCTGTTCCACTGGCTTCTCTTCCCCTCCAGCCCAGAGCAGTTTACACAACAGGAGGACAGGCAAGAAAAGCCGATGTCCTAGCACTGGCATACTGACACTGTTCGCACAGGGCCTACTGGTTTTCAGTGCTCGTTTAAGCACTTTAATGAATGCACATCGTTATTCAAAGTCTTTGACTGGAGCACTCCTTTCCTATTTTGTTCAAAAACGTTTTGAATCCTGGCGAGGAGGAGATCGTTTGGAGATTCGTTTATTATGACCCAGAGATGGCCTTCTACTCAACCGCACCAACACAAGCGTGGGATAATGTTAAAACAGCTTGTTTCAGAACTAGATTAGACTGGATGTTTTAAGTAAGCGATTCATTAAATAGCTACACTGCAGTGGGAACGATAGACGTACTGTGCTTTGCTTCCAATGTTGTACAGCAAAACAAACGATTTCTATTAAAATGTTCAATTCAACACTCACGGCTCCAGATAACCATCAGGCAATGTGACTGAGCACACACAACAATCGCAGTGCGCTCTGACCCTGCGGGACCCTGGACTCTGCCTCAGCCTGTCCAGACCAGGCTGTCCCCTGTCTGGCAGAGAGAAACAGAGGCCCAGATGCTCCTGGGCTCATACTACTGCTTTAGAAGACAACTCCCCTGCAGACAACACCCCCAGCTGAGAGAAAACTGCCAATCTACTAGGAAGACAACACCATTTTGCAATGATGGCGCTGTGCAGCTGCAGGCTAGTTGTTGCCACTTGCTGTGTCAATATAAAATAATGTCAGCCACAGCCTGCAAGCTTTATACAAAGCATGGCAGGTGGAGCAAATTCAAAGGTCAGGAGCTAGCACAGCACTGTTTTCACAGCGAACAAGCCACATTCCTTTCTAATTAAAAATAAGAGGACTGCCTAACACCTCGACTCCCTACACATGGCAGACTGCCTACTGAAATGCAATAATAAGCATACATTTTCACAAAACTCCAGACCTGTCCAGGCAACTCCAAAGCCTGGGGGCATATTAGGAAGATGTCCACAAACACTGCTGATCTGCTCACAGTCACCTACCCACCTGAACTCCACCCACAGCCCGTGGGATAACTCATATTAACCAGACTAAGAGACACCCTTAGAGGACTGCTGGGCTCCAGTCGTTGTGAAACAGATCAGGCCATGAGGCTGGGCAGTCAGTGCTCAGTGGTTGAAGGCCTGGGGTACTGATTTGTCTCTGTAGTGTCACTCCAGGATGCAGTGTGAATATGACGCGTGCTAGCCTCCCCTCAATGCAGAGCTGCCTGCATTACGCCAGCATGTTCAAATGCTTCTCTTTTCCGTGAGGGAAAATTTCTATGCTCCTGGAAAATCAGAATAATGCTTGTAAATGCAGCTTCAAATCTAAACTCGCCTACTGTATGTCAAGTACAGATCAACAGGTATTTTTATAGCTGCAGGGCACAGCGAAGCTCCTGGGTACCTAACCCACCCTCCCATGGCCTCACCGTGCAAAGTTAAATGAAGGCCAATAGGATCACATCTAAAAGAAATGGAATAATATAAAGGAACTCGGAAGCAAAACTCCTTGAGTTCCCAAAATCTGATCAGCTGCTGATTGCTACAGACCTGTGTTTTATAATATAAGATAAACACTGCTGTATATGTTTGCAGTGTATTTCCACAACTGGATTTTAGATTAAACGGGCTACAGAAACTAAGTCATTTAACCTTCATTGGAAAGTCTGCTCACAGTGGAAAACAATGATTTTATAAATAATGTACCCAGCACTGACAAGCACAGGTAAACAGTACGTGTCTAATTATTAACACTGAAATGAAAGCAACAAACCAGTTATTGGTGCTTTTATTCACAGCACAGTTCCCCCAGTTTCTGAAGAACTTCCATTTAAAAAACTAGAGGAGCCATTGTAAAGCCAGGTCAGGAGACACACTTGCAAAGCTGCAGGAAAACACCAAGCAAAACTTTTTTAAATATTTTAGACAAAAGTCAGTAGAAGCAGGTGATGTAAACGTGCAACAATGGTTCTTTTTGTGGTAACAATGGAATCTTCCAGGAATGGCGCAGGAAAAGGCTGTGTGTATAATTCGAATGTCTAAGTGTTTCTATACGCAACAAGAGCGTCATCTGGTGGACGCAATTGTTACTACAGACGTTTACTAGAGACTAAAGGGGTGCCCAGCTCCAGTACTTGACAAAAAAAGACTCTCCTGGTTTGCTGCCACCTGAGCGAGCTTTGAGCCACTTACCAGGCATGATGATTTACTAGAATATTCACTGGATCTTTTACTAGACCATTTTAGACTAGGTGTAGATAATTTTATACCTAGGACTAAAAAACTCACACTGAACACGGCTCACTGTGTAATGTACAGGTGTATGAAGGAACAAGTAATAGGTTTATTCCATGCTGAAAAGAGAGAAAACATAACGTTTTGGCTGTGGAGCCTTCTTCCTAACGCTACCAGCCTGAACCATATACAGATGTATTGTGTGTAGAATGAATAGCATCTATAAATCATTTGCATTACTCTTTTAAAGAAGTTTACAATGTGTGCAGTTTAGTAAATCATTACTGTGCTGTTTATGTCCATTGAAAAATCTGAATAATCAGTCCACTGCTGCACAGACAGCATTGCAACATTCTCTCAGCTCAGGCCTGACAATCATTTTTCACAAACCACTGTGTACAGATTCAAAAGTGTTTTTAATCCCCCTTCAGGAATCCAACCAGAGTGTAAGGGGCAAACCAAGGGCCCTGACGCAAAGACACATTTGCTTTCTTTGGGGGGGGGAGACGAGAACAAAACTAACCCACCATTCCCTCTTTAGTTTCACAGTGATGTACAAAAACACCAGGCTTAAAAAAACACATCCAATTCATATACACTGAATACATCGATTGAGAATTTGAAATACACGTATACGGTACCTTCCTACACAATAACCTTCCCCCGTTGATATTATACATTTCAGAGAACGCGTGTTGTGCCAGGTTAGTTCCACCAGGCACCAGTGTCCACTTACATCGTCATCTCTGGATCTGATGATCTGATGTAGCCACAGTTCTGACTTCAGGGGTCACAGAATGGGAATCGTCCCGGGTCTTTGGTACAGTCTCTTAATGAGCTCATTGAAAATACCATTAATTAAAGTGATCGGCGTTCCAAAATCCGACCTGAGAACTGCTGGCAGATGCTGGAATACTTGTTTTTTTTCTCTGTTCTTGCCATTGGCTTTCTCTCTCCTAATACGAACACTGCAAAGCCAGGGTTCGAGGATGCCTTAAACCGGTAATATAAATGTGAAGAGTCTTTTCATCGCAGGCGTCTCTAAAAGAAATGTGTCCAAAGAGATGAAGTCCCCACTCAGGGGGCAAGGAAGGGGGGAATGTGATGAAGATTGAGACTCACGGTCTCGAGTGAAAAACTAACAGGTTAAAAAAAGGAGGATCTTTGCGCCAGACAGAGACTGGGATGATTTGTGTCTTTACAGGGCACAGCCTGTTTTCTTTTATTAAATGGACATGTTTTTTTTTTAAAAAAAAAACACTGATAAAACAATAAGATTATAAAACACTGACAATTTACAACAATACACAAAAAAATCACAAAAATATACAAATTAAATCTTATGCAAAATAAATATTGTAAATCTTCTGTATATATACTGTATTTATATATAATCTATTATTTTACAGTCCTGTGGAATTCATGTCAATACACTCTATACACTCCCCTGCTCACAAACTCCCCACAGTGACTGTACTGCCTTCTCCCAAAGAGAACTCCAGAGAGCAGTCTATCACTCTCCAATCTCCTGAATCTTGACAACCCATTGTCATCATACACTACCTATTATTATTACCAAGAATATTATTAATATTGTTAGTGCAGGAGTTATTCTCCTTCAAAGAAGCATTGCAAACACACACACACCCTGACTCACTTCCACAGTACTTTTCTTTTCCTTCAGAATACTTGAGAAAAGCTCCAACAGCCTATCTGTAGAAAAAAGATTCCCGGTGTAACTGTTTTCACTGTGCCCCTCTTGTGGCATTTGGAAATTAAGGAGTTCAAAGCTCTGATTGTGCAGGACTTCACAATATCCAGATGTCACCCGTCTTGGGAACTCCAGTCAAATGTCAGTGCTCTCGACACCAATCTGCCTCAATTCAACCCTGACCTGCTCCGTCAGCGACTGAGCACCCCTTCCTGACCAGAACTGCTCTCACTCAGACAACACAGGCCAGACCGAAGTCATGCCAGGTGTCCGAGGAGCAACGCACAGGCTGACTGTGCGTCTCGACCCGCATACGTCTTCAGATTTGTCCATCCTTCACGGCAGCAACATAAAACAATATTCTGAACACATCACATGGGTTATAAAAGCACATGTGGATACGGACAAAGAAGTATTTGGAAAAAAAAACCTGGCCCCAGTATTGAAGCCATGGGACTGTCAGTCACAGTAGCTCCAGTAGGTTGTGAAGATTAAAATGGACGAATGCTTCCCACAAATACATACAGTACATACAAATACAAGGTGCAAACGGGAACTGTTAATTTGTGACCTCTCACTTCATTGTGCAGTGTGCACCCAGCGGTCCCAGATATCTGCCCTGTGATGTACACATTGTGATTGGAACCACTGCGAGCACATACAGTATACGTACCAACACCCGAGTACACACGGTGTGTAGCCTCTCCCTCCCAAACCAGGTTCCTTCAGATTAATCCTCCACGTAAATGGAGTGGCTGTGAGTCTGTAAAGGTTTAAGGAAGGCCTGGCCATCATTTCAATCTTTATTTTTGTCGATATGCCCTTGGAATGTTAGGATCCTGTGTTTGCCGGAGAAATGTTGAGAACTAACCTTTGAAGAGCCAGCTTTTGGGAGAACAGAGTCACAGGTAATTGATTTGGTTTTTGAACACGTTTTGATTTAGGGGGTATTTACGCGCTGCGGTTTGGAAGGATGGCAGGTGTGCTTTCCCATCACCCCCCCCCACCGAGTTCCAGAGCGCACGCGCGCGCTCCGGCTCGCTCCCACGGCTGTCCAGCAGACTCCTGCCCACCCGCGTGCTGACCCCTGGAGTGGGACATCCGCAGGAAACCAAGAGAGGAGCAGGATCGCCAACGCTGGGGTTTGGACTGGGGTTCGGACACTGAGCTCGGCCGAGGCAGGTGCAGACCTACAGTAACGGCCACCAGGACTCGGCGGAGTACAGAGACATGATTACAAAACAACCACGGGAGCAACAGAACTCCCGCGTCCAGAAAAGATCTTAAAAACATTCTTTCAGAAAGAAGCATTTGAAAGGGCCCATGCAGCTTTTCCCTGCATTTCCCACTGCACTGCCCTTTGAAGTGATATTCTGAGATATCTGCCTTTTGCCTGTTAATGAGAAGAAGTGATTGAGTACAAAACATTAAAATTCTAGTCTTTAAAACCTGAGGGCTTCCTTTAACCCCCCTTTCCTCCTCAAAGGGAAACATTTCCGCCAGGCCAGCCCTCCCTGGCCACATCACTGAAAGTCACCGGCTGACGCCTGACCTCTGACCCCCAGCCATGTTCCGCTCTTGAGAACATGAGAAGGGCCGATGATGAGAACAGGACACTGAGCCCACTGTTCGCTGTTCCCCGTTTTCTTTTGGTCCTTTAGTCGTTATTGATAGGTGCCATAAAGTCATTTTGAGAATCACACACTCACTGTCATTGACACAGCTTGTAAGGACTTGCAGATGGACCAGTCTCCATTAATAACAGCAAGGTGGCAGACAGTGCCCACCCTAACAGGACAAAACCCAAGCGCCAGCACCCTCTAGGATGACACTGAAGGAGCCACTGATAGATACACGCACTCAGAACGAAACCGACGTCCTGATACCTACAGTGGAGATCAAGAATATCTTTGCTGCACCATGTGGATGCTGAGGCTGTCGTATTTCCCATGTATATTTACATACTGTAACACATCATAGTTCCATAAAAGAGAACTCGTTTTCACCTTTCCTTGCTGTGCTCAATGGTGGAGACTTTTCAGCAACACTTAAGAATAGCCGGCAGCCTGCCAGTTAGCACTGCTGCCTCACACCTCTTGGGTCCTGGGTCCGATTCTGTCCTGGGGGGCCTTCTGTGTCGACTTGGCATCTTCTACCCATATCCACGTGGGTTTTTCCCCAGGTGTTCCCGTTTGCTGCCACCTGCCAGAGGCTGGTATCCCGCAACAGACTGGCATCCCATCCTATTCAAACAGGCTGCACTCACAGGTCTCAGTAATAAAGGATCATTACATGCCTTGTCTGTTCGGACGTTAACTAATTTTTTTATTTTACAGAATTTGTTTTAAAGTTAAAAACGTTACAAAATAAAACTCTTGGCATGTAGTGCTTTTGGGATGTTCCACGACACCAATATTCTCCAATATTCTCACTGATAACCAGCCTGTAAAGTGTATTCCTCTTTAAGAAAGGTACATCAGCCATGGACGCGTCTTGCCTGTCTCTGGCTGTGAGACAGTACAGTATGCTGGTAGGTGCAACAGGGTGGGCTGTGCATTTCTACACACCCTTCTAATTCATCTTCCATTGTTTGTCGCCTTTATGGGGGCATCAGGCTGAGCTCCACTTTTAGCGAAGAGCTCCTTCTTCTGTTTAGAGTCAATTGAACATTTTCTCTGGGAGAAAAGCCCAGTGGATCAACTAACCACATCAGGTAAAGCAACAGACTGCACCACTGTGTACAAGGCTTTAGACTTTACAGCTTGTATCGATCTCCCCTTTCCTTACACGACTGTGCCCGTTAGTGTTTTATGGTTCCGGGTGTTCAACCAGATGAGGACCAGAGAAGCAGTGCTGTGGTTGCCGAGTGCGGCCAGAGGCAGACACGCAGCAGAGACATCGCACCCCTTCCTACGACAGCATTCCTGTCTCCTCGAGTTCAGCTACACCTGGGAGTCCAGATGAAAACGTTTCCTTTTCCAGACTCTCCTTAGGCCCTAAAGACATGGAGACGAGGTGGGGGACGGATGGGTGATCAGATGTTTGGGAGGCTGAGTTACTGATACACCTGTTGTCTCCTGGCGTTTTTTTTGAGGATGGGAACAGTTCCTCTTCAATTTCCCACCACATGACGCATCACAAACACCCCAATCCCTTCAGTGTCTGAAACACTGAGGGAAGAGCTGATGGGCCACGCAGACTAATTACAGTTCTCTGTAGGGACAGAGCGCACTACCCACTGGCTGAGGGGGTTCATTATAAACCAAACATCAATGACTTCCGCTGGGCATGTGAACCAATCCCGGATTCATGAGCCGAAGGGGTCTTCACTGTCCAGGGTGGGTCAGGCAGGGGAGTCATATAATTCCCACAACATGTGTGGTCCAGGGCTATGGCCTGAGGCAGACTTCAGTAGTCTCATGGGTGTAGAGAGGAGGAAGGAGTGTGATTCGATACTCACAGTGATTGTGTTACAAGACCTCGGGGAGTTAACAGCCAGGTGTTGGAAAGGAGGGTCTGCGCACTGTACCCACACACGCCTGTCTGTCAGCATGCCCAGGAGGAGTGCAGCATGTGCTCGGGCATGTGTGTGTTTGTCAGGGAGCAGCGGCATCCCCGGAAGTCCGGGGGTCCCCCTAATCAGGGGGGTGGCGGTGGTCATATGGTGCTCTCGGAGTGGCTGCTGTGGTTGGACCGGCGAGGGACGCAGTTCTGCTCGTTCAGGAGGCTAGTGGTCTCATCGGGGCCATTCTCAATGGGCTCGGGGACAGCGGATTCGGGGGGCTCCAAACGGGTGTGACCACTCTCCGGGGACTGTGGCGTGCTGTCCAGACGAGACGCCATCAGGCCATTCTGATACTGAGAGCGAGTGATCTGGGAGAGCAGCAGACAGGCAGACAGACGATAGGTGAGCTATGACACAGATCATTGTCTGGCTGTACAAATACTAAAAAGAGAACAAAACCCTGAAGATGTTAAAAATAAACAGAGTTTAACGACAGGAAATTGATTCCAGTTGTCAGATCACGTATACGCATACCTTAGCTTTGTGCAACAACCTGAAACTTTCAGGTACCATAAATAATATTATTGCTAAAGATATGCCATTCTAATCTGCAAGCGACCAGAATATAGAATACGAATTTTTGTATAAAAATGCATTAAGTCCTGTTCTACACCTGCATGCTTTGGAAGCACTGGCCTACCTGTATACAAAATATACAAAATGCTTTTAAATCTAGCATTACCACACACATTATATATATATAAAAAGTATTGATTAAGGACACTTAAAAGATTGCCTTTTCATATTTTAAGCATCTTAAAAAATGAAAAAGCACCCCAAAAATCCAACTGTCTACGTGCAAATCAGGACACAATTTCAGAGTGGCTGTAAGTGAGATTACACTGGTTCCTGTTTTTACCTTGACAAACTGCAGGTCGCTCAGAGCGCGCACGTAGAAGTCGGGGATGTACTGGGGAGAGGGGGCGCTGTTGAGCTGGTTGTTGCTGCCGCTGACGGAGAGAGACTCGGAACGCTCCGTGCAGCTGAGAGACACAGAGCGATTCAGGCCGCTGAGGTGAGAGGGAGAGCGGAACTCTGAAACAGACAGAGGGACCGTCAGACTGAAAAAGGGAAAGCAGAGGACGAGAGAGAGAGGAAAGGCCATTCAGGTCAGAGGCTGCAGAACTGCAGCATCCAGACTCGCACCATAAGCCTGAAAGCAGAAAGGAGTGGAGAGAGAGGGAGAGAAGGAGGGAGGAAATGTCTGACACTCAATCAGAATGACTGAAGGGAGAAACGTACAGAGAGGAAGAGGGGAAAGATGAAGAAATTCAAACACAAGGCAGACGGTGAGGGTGAGAGGAGTGACGTCCTACTTTGCCAGCTCGGAAAGTCACAGTGGGATGAAGGAATAGGAAGAAGGGAACGGAGAACGATGATTCATGGAGTCCTGCAATGCATACGGACACACTAACAAGGCTGCGAGTGTGGGCTTCAGAGCAGAGGAGAGGTACAAAATGGGAAGAACTGTCCTGGAAGAGGCTGCCTATGGGTAAGACTCAAGTGCATCATGTGCATCTTCTAGACAGTGTGGGAAAGCAACAGAAAAGGAAATATAATATCAGGATATTTAAATCATGTGTTATTATAAAAATGGTATAAATCACTAGTAAGGCTTCATAGAATATTCTGTACTATTTTGGTCAAGGCATTATAGAAGAGGTATTGCTGCTCTGGAATCAGTCCAGAGAAAAGCAAGGAGATACATTCTGGGACTTAAGGGGATGTCCTCCACTGGCAGGCTGAAGGAATTGAACCTTCCTGGTCTTGAACAGAGTAGATTACTCCAAGTGCTCAAAACATTGACGCCTTGAGGTAAGTAAACCCAGCGACACACCGAGGGAAAACTCAGTGGAAGTGCATTTGAAACCCAGAACAGGAGGCACTTCTTCACTCCAGGACAAAGGGTTGCAGGAGTATGAAACAATCTAACCAGCCATGCTTCATTCAAGACACAGCTGAATGAGATCCTTGGATCGATTAGCTACCAGACGGGCCTAGTGGCCTCTTCTCTTTTGCAACTGCTCTTCCGTTCCTTTGTCAGAACTGCACAAAACATCCATTCGCATGTTCGGACTCGGATTACTTGCGCGTTACGGCAATTACACCAGAAATCCAAAAATAAAGTTTGAACTAAAAAATGCATTTAAGGCCATGATATGAGTGCCGAGTTTCAGCATTCTCTTCCATCGCTCTTTCTTTCCCAAGCGTTGATTTTTTGATACAATAGGTCCTTAACGGGTTATAACTTTAATTCTTGCTAAATTCACCTTTTAATTTTTTCACACCAGATTTCCTCCAGTTTAAATCGTTACCAGCCCTATTATCTCATCCTTATGGCTGCAATCCTTGTAACTCTCACTGCCGAGGGATGAGTACTGTCCATGCCTTCCTCTGCAGGATGCATAGCCAAACCCTATGTTCCTCACTCTGGAGGTACGCTTGGGAAACCCTGGTCACAACAGCCAGATGATACAGCCCAGGACTCACTCTTTACTTTGAAGTCAGCACCCATATCACCCTGCAACTCACAAGCGGCAGCCCACTGAAGCTCAGCAGGTGTGAGCCTGGTCAGTATCTGGATAGGAGATCTCCTGAGAAAAACTAAGGTTTCTGCTGGAAGATGTGTTGGGGTGACCAGCAGGGGGTGCTCACACTGCAGTCTATGTGGGTCCTAATGCCCCAGTATAACGGTGGGGACACTATAGTGTAAACAGGCGCCGACCTTCGGATGAGACGTAAAACCGAGGTCCTGACTCTCTGTGGTCATTAAAAATCCCAGGGCGTTTCCCGAAAAAGAGTAGGGGTGTTACCCTGGTGTCCTGCCCATATTTGGCATTGGCCCTCACCAATCATGGCCTCCTAATAATCCTGATCTCTGAACTGGCTTCATCACTCTGTTCTCCTCCCCACTGGGAGCTGGTGTGTGGTGAGCGTACTGGCATACCGTACTGTAGCTGCCGTCGCATCATCCAGGTGGGGCTGCACCCTGGTGGTGGTGGAGGGGATCCCCATTACCTGTAAAGTGCTTTGAGTGGAGTGTCCAGAAAAGCGCTATATAAGTGTAAGCAATTATTATTATTATTAAGTCCCACCTTGTGGCATCATTCTGAGCCCCCTGATTTGAATAAGCAAACGACCATTAATTAATTAACGACAATTAACGACCATTAATTAATTGTATAATTAATAAGCAGCTGAGCACAATTATACAAATCAGCTGGGCTTGTATCAGCACGGAACGCGAGGCTGTGGTGTGGAGTGTGTGGCAGGGAGTGTGATCTGGATGGCACGAGCCAGGGAGAGTCAAATATGCTGAGGAGACTTGGGCAGAAGACTGGGACACAGGCAGAGGAACAGGCCACAGTCCCTCCGCTACAAGGTGGAGAGAAATAAAAATCAGATCAAACAATCTGTGGAAGAAAGATTTCATCATGACCAGAGAACACGGGGCATGTGGGCTCCTTCTTTTTTGCAAGGAGCCCCCGGATGTCAGCTCACTACTGCACACACCCCTCTTATCCTACAGGGGCTGAAGCAGAAGCCCAAAGACGTGCCATGCCAGCACCATGTGCCTGGCAGCAGTAAGGTTAGTAGTGGGCATGCACAGTGCCAGGCAACACTGCACTGAGTTAGAGTTGCTAGGGATATCTCTTGCACAACCCAGCCACACTGCACATACAGATATGGCCTTCACTGTCCTATCACCCTTGCACTCTCTGAGGGACAGCAAACATTTGACCATAGCTGCACAGTGACCGAGTGGGGGTGGGTTATGATGCAGTGCGCTTCTCATTGTTAGAGCAGACCCTCTAACCCTCTACGTTCGACCCCAGAACCCGCTCCCCAGAAAAGGTTAGCTGCGCAGGTCCCAGGCGTGCCGGAGTTTACCTGAGAACCGAGAGAACAGAGAGCCCCTCTTTAGAGAGAGGTGGCGAGGTCGAGGTAGTCTCACTGAGAGAGAGCGAGCTGAGAAAGAGAGAGAGAGAAGGCTGAGAGACAGAGGGCTCAGAGAGCTGGGGGACACTCTAGAGTAACAAGAGAGACACAGCAAGGGCACAAAATGGGACCAGGAAAGAACCCTGCAGGGAAAGGAAGGGACACAAGCTGGAGTGCTCTGAGAGACAAAGTTTAAATGGAGGTTAGACAGAAAAAGAGAGCACAGATCAAAGACAATGTCACAGAAGGCAGAGGGACAAAGTAGCCATTTTGGGTCAAGGAGAGAAGACCCTTCCCCTTGATAATCCAGGAAGACCCCACAGCACATCCTGGAGAGAACTAGAAGAAACATAGTGAGACACCAACACTTTGTGAAGATGGGACAAACACATTGAGCTCCACAGCACACTGTTGACCGGAACACACTCACTACTCTGAGCTCCACAGCACACTGATGACAGGAACACACACACTGCTCTGAGCTCCACAGCACACTGATGACAGGAACACACACACTGCTCTGAGCT